GCGGGTACTTGGTGTGTGTGGAGCGAATGACCAGCAGGCCATTCTGGGGGTCCACAGGAGCAAAAATAGCTGGGTCAGGGGGAGGAGGCGTGGCCCTGACCACTCTGGAGAGGCGAGCAGGCTGTGGAGGGCCTCCGTGCGCCTGTGCCTGCTGCACTCCAGAGCTGGCCCCAGGTCTCCACCAGGTGTGACCTCCTGACCCCGAGCACCCACCCTCGCCCTGGCCCTCTGCTGGGTGTGCGTAGACATGAGCAGACTCAGGTCCCTCCTCACCCCAGGGCAGGGCAGGGCAGCCAAGCTGCGGTCCAGGCGGAGGAAGGAGGCGAGGAGCGAAGGCTGGCCAACCTGGAAGCAGGCGTGCAGGGCTCTGCTGGGCCAGGAGCATGACACAGGGGGTCCTCTGTGCTGGGTTTTGGGAACGTGACTGTGTAAGGTGGGGTGGGGCAGGCTGTGAGCATCACGACTCACGCCAGCGTCCTGTCACTGCCGCAGCTGGGCCTGAAGGCCCCTCAAGTCAGGGCTCTGGACTGCGGCTCTTGGGGCTTCCCGTCCCCTTCTGTCTCTGTGAGCACCCTGGGCAAGGCTCATCCGTCTGGTAATGAGGTGCTGCTGCCGTACCCCGGCCTAGAGCGGTTGTGTGGGTTGATGGGGCCTGGCTGGCAGGAGGTGTTACTGTGCTGAGAGGAAGCCAGCCAGGTGCTCACCCCCGGGGTGCACGTGAAGGGGCTTCCCTCCAGGCCCGAGCTGCACGGGCCCACTGCTCCATGGGCGGAGAAGAAGGTGGCCTGCTTATGCCATGAGCACTCTCGGAGGCTTCCTGGAGGACACAGTCTGCAGTTCCTGACGCCCTGAGAGTGCTTCCTGAGGGCAGAGGCAGACCTCTGAGCCTGGCTCCCTTCCGCCGTGAGCGCGCACCTCGTACCAGAGTGCCGGGGAGGCAGGGGCCCCGTGTGCAGAGTGTGCTGGGCTCGGCCCTGTCCTGGGCTCGGCCCTGTCCGAGGGGCTAGTTCCCGTAGAGCTGGTGCCAGGCCTGGCAGGGGCCTCCCGCAGGGCCCAGTCTGTCCTGGGCCTGGGAAGACCATCCATGGCCCAGCTGCCCCAGGTGGTCACTTTGCCGACCTCCAGGGCCTGGGGGTACTCCTGGAGCCGCAGGCCCTTCATTCGGCCGCTGGGGAAGTTGGGGGACTTGGCAGCCCTGATGTGCTGCTCTGCTCAGGGCAGGGGTGAAGCTTGTGTTTGGGCCACAGTGGGAAGAGGGTGCAGAGGGGCAGCCCCCTCTTCCCGCCTGCTTAATCTTGGGGCTTTATCATTTGGGAGTCGGGGAAAGAAATGTTTACATGGCCTCGCATTTGTTTCCAATTATTCATCAGTATTGGCGAGGCATTGTTCCGTGCTGGTGTAAACAGCCCTGTCCAAGGCCTAGCCACCCTGCCCGGGCCTGAGGGCCTTGCTCTCAGCGAGGTGCAGGGCTGGGCCAGGCCAGATGGCTGCAGATGGGTGGCACCAGGGAGCTTGTTCTTGTCAGGGACCAGGTCGTGCTTCTGCCCCGGGAATTGAGCACTTGAGGGCCTGTTTTGTTTGCTTGCGACTGAACCTTCACTGGGGCTGGGGAAGCCAAGCTGCAAGCGTAGACTCCGGAACAGGAAGAAAGGCAACCGCTGTGCCAGGAGGGGTCTGACGGAGCCCCAGGCACAGCCGCCTGCATTCAGGGCTCATCGTGAGGCTGTGCCACGGAACTGGCATAGGTGCCTCCATGGGTCCTGTCGGACCAGAGGACTCACTATGGCGATGCCGGGGCAAGCATCAGGGACCCACGAAAGTGGGCCCACGTTGACCCCAGACACCAGCCCGGGGTAGGACTAGCCTCTGCTTCATGGTATTTTTTTTTTTTAAGATGTATTTATTTGAAAGGCACAGTTACACACAGAGAGAGAAAAAGGTCTTCCATCTGCTGGCTCACTCCCCAAATGGCCGCAACAAGCAGGGCTAGGCCAAGCCGAAGCCAGGAGCCACAGCTGCTTCTGCGTCTCCCACATGGGTGCAGGGTTCCAGGGACTTGGGCCATCTTCTGTGACTTTCCCAGGTGCGTTAGCAGGGAGCTGGATCAGAAGTGAAGCAGCCGGGACACAAACCGGCACCCATATGGGATGAGGGCCCTGCAGGCTGCAGCTTAACCCACTGCGCCACAGCGTCGGCACCTTCATATTAGCCTGGGCACGTTTGCTGGCTCAGCCAGCTCGGAACAAGACGTGCTCTGGAGCCGAGCCCTGGTGGGGGCCCTGCTTTCGCTCTGGCCTGCTTGTGATTTTGCTCAGGTTCCTCAGGTCCCTGTGCCTCACTCCGGGTCCTCACAGATGACATGGAGTCAGTCACACAGCCCAGCACCCAGATTGCCGACAGGGTCGAAGGAGGACGAGGCGCCCTGCTGAGAGCTGTTTGGGATCCCAGGCAGACCCCCAGGGCAGACACTCGCTGTGCCTCGGGGCTGCCCCCAGCAGGGCTGACGTTGGCACTGGGCCTCCAGGGAGCCGTGGGCAAGATGTCGCTGAGCAGGGGCAGGTGTCCCGATTCATCCCCGTCTGTCCCGTGCTCCGGGGGCCGGCCTCCCAGGCCTGCGGTCCGATCACGCGGCCCCGCTCAGCAAGGGCCACCTTTGCCTGGAGCCGTAACCCCTGGGGGCCCTGAGCGGCACTTCCTCCTCTGGCTGCCACACGGCTGACATTTGAGCTTGCTGGAGAGTAATGACCCTCCTCCTCACAGCTGGCCTCAAAGGCAGCCGCCCGTCTCTTGGGTGGTAAAGTGGCCTGCTGTCCGCCGGCCTCGGTAGCGCCAGCTGAACTTGCCCCAGAGCGGACTCGTCTCCAGGTCAGTGCAGGTCACCGCCTGCCTCACCTTTTCCATCCTTTTCGTCCCAACAGTGAGAGAGATCTGTGGAAAACAGAACTGCTTAAAGAGTGCCTGTGTGTGCCGTGCCCGTGCGAGTGTGCGTGTGCGTGCTGGGGCCGGAGGACTGGCTAGGAGCAGCCAGTAGCCCACGTCGCCTTTGTGGTTTCGTATATTTGCCTATTAAAATGACAATACAGACATGGAACATTAGGGTTTAAGAAGCCCTTCTTTCATTAAACAAACTGACAGAGTAGGGGTTATGACTCTGGTAATTGAAACATGCTGTTCTGTTCAAGACCAGAACTCCATAAAGACTCTTTTCAGCCAATAACACCCTTTGTGCCAGCGGCCTCTGGTCAGAAGTGCGTGTGGGCCCTGGGGTCTGTCTCCCGGAGAGTGGGAAAGACGGCTTGGCAGCCTCCCTGCACTCCTGGCAGCCAGAGGTCAGGGCCTTTGCAGGACCCCCCCCCCCCACTCTCGGGACTTCTGAAGCCAATCTGAGGGGCCCAGGGCCTCAGGGTGCCGCGGACACCCTGGCTCCAGGGGCTTGTGCCGCTGGCTGTGAACCCGAGGTGCCACTGAAGACTGAGGCTCTCTGGGGCCTGGGTGGGGAGGCTGTGTGTGACAGGGGACAAGCCTCACGCTGCACGGTCCACTGAGAGCCCAGGTCTGAGTGCTGCCTCGGCCACTCCCTGCCTGTGGGGCCTTGGGAAGCTCACTTTGCTTCTGTTCTGTTTCTCCTGTAAAGTGGGGGTTTTTCCTGGGGTTGACCAGGAGGCTTGCTGATTCAAGAAGGTGTTCACGGGGCTGGTGCTGTGCTGCAGCGGGTTTAGCCACCATCTGCAGTGCCAGCATCCCATGTAGGCGCTGCTTCGCGTCCCAACTGCTCTGTTTCCCATCCAGCTCCCTGCTGTGGCCTGGGAGAGCAGTGGAGGGTGGCCAGAATCCTTGGGCCCTGCACCCGCACGGGAGACCCGAAGAAGCTCCCGGCTCCTGGCTCCTGGCTTCGGCCTGGCCCAGCCCCAGTTTACAGCCATTTGAGGAGTGACCCAGCGGGAAGATAGATAGATAGATAGATAGATAGATAGATAGATAGATAGATAGATCTCTCTCTCTCCTTTGTTTCCCTATAACTCTTACTTACAAATCAATAAATATTAAAAAAAAGAAAAGATGCTGACAACTGTGCTGGTCACACAGGAAGCGCTGAGTCAGGGGCAGCAGCATCCCAACCATGAGGGCTCGGCCTCCATAGGTCACCCAGGGCACCCACTAGGGAGCACCCCCAGAGCACGTCTGTGCAGAGCACCGTGGAGCAGCCCTCCCTGCAGGGGAGCACTCTGCAGCACTGTGGAGCACTGTACACAGCACCATGGAGCAGCCCTGGAGGGAGCACTGTGGAGCACTACTGTAGGGAGCACTGTGCACAGCACTGTGAGTACCCCTGTAGGGAGCACTCTGCACAGCACTGTGGAGCACTCATGTAGGGAGTATTCTGCACAGCACTGTGGAACATTGTGCACAGCACCATGGAGCAGCCCTCCCTGCAGAGTGCTCCAGCACTGTGGAGCACTACTGTAGGGAGCACTGTGCACAGCACAGAGGAGCAGCCCTGGAGGGAGCACTGTGCAGCACTGTGCACAGCACAGGGGAGCAGCCCTGGAGGGAGCACTGTGCAGCACTGTGCACAGCACAGGGGAGCAGCCCTGGAGGGAGCACTGTGTGAAGCATTGTGGGGCAGCCCTGTAGGGAGCACTGTGCACAGCACTGTGAGTACCCCTGTAGGGAGCACTCTGCACAGCACTGTGGAGCACCCCTCCCTGTAGGGGAGCATTCTGCACAGCACTGTGGAGCACTACTGTAGGGAGCATTGTGCACAGCACCATGGAGCAGCCCTGGAGGGAGCACTGTGCACAGCACTGTGAGTACCCCTGTAGGGAGCACTCTGCACAGCATTGTGGAGCAGCCCTGGAGGGAGCATTGTGCACAGCACTGTGAGTACCCCTGTAGGGAGCACTGTGGCTCTCTCTGTGTGGTCTCTGGTGCACCTAGGGGAATGGCTGTCTGCGTCCTCCCGGTCAGGTGTGACTGCCCTCCTTTCTTTCCTCCCACAGACGTGGACGAGTGCCAGGACAACAATGGAGGCTGCCAGCAGATCTGCGTCAATGCCATGGGCAGCTACGAGTGCCAGTGCCACAGTGGGTTTTTCCTCAGTGACAACCAGCACACCTGCATCCACCGCTCCAATGGTGAGTACGGCCGTGGGCCGGGCCCCGTCCAGGCACACAGCCCTGGGGCCTCGCGCGTTGATTCTGGCGCCCTGGGGTCAAGGCAGGGGCTCTGGTGTGGCCTGAATGGCTTCTTTCTTCTGGTGTTCTACAGGGAGGTCTCGCAGCCCTCCCTCGCCCTGCCTCACCTGGGCTGTCGGTGCTTACGGGAGAGCGGAAGCAGAGCCACAGGGCGCAGGATGACCGCTCTGGGTAGGGAGCTGGCCGCGCTCAGGCAGCATCGGGGCCCCTTTTCCACAGTCCCCTTGGTCGCGCACTTGAGCTCATCCCAGACTGTGTGGTTACCGCGTCACCAGTCATCCTGGGATCCTGTGGCCAGGAGCCTGCTGCCCCCTGGAGGCCTTGGGGGTGGCAGGCTGGCCTGGGGAGGAGCTGGGGACCCAGGCCGCGTCGGGCCAGCTGGAGCACGAGGGTGGTCCCAGGACAGACCAGACGGGGCAGGCTGACCTCCAGCCAAGCCCAGCAGGCGAAGGCACTTTGTGTGTGGAGCACTGCCAGCCAGATCCTGGAGGAGGGTCCTGCGTCGCAGGGCTGTGAGCGGGGACAGGGCTAGGGGTTGGGGGCCTGTGCTTGGAGGAGGGAGGCTCCCTCGCAGAGGGCACCGCACCGCCGAGGCAGAGGGCCGCTCTTGCTATAGATGATGGCGGGTTCCCGGGTCTCAGCAGCCGAGGCCCCTGTGGCCTGGCCGTCCTGAGCGCTCAAGGGGGAGATACAAAGGCGAAGGCCAGACTGGTGGACAGACAGGTTCACGGAGGCTGGGGGCGGGCAGGGAGAGGCCCCTGGGCACGCGGCCCGAGGAGGCGGGGTCAGCAGGACCCCTGGGAGCCCAGCTTCGCTGCCTGGAGGGCCGTGTCTCCGGCAGCTGCATTGCTCCGGCAGGGGGGGCAGGGGCTGGCGGAGCCCCCAGGTGTCAGGTGGTGTCGGCAGGAGCCAGCTGCAGGCTGCAGGCGGGGCCTGGTTCCGAAGCCCGTGTGAGGGAGCAGAACTGCTGCAACAGTCCGTGGAGCCCCGACGTATGTGCTGGTGGTCTCTGCAAAGGCAAGCTGGGCCTGTGAGTCCCTGGCCTGCCGCGTCCCCTGGAGGACAGGGCGGCCGAGCTGTAGTCACGTGGTCCGGCCTCCCACTGCCCCCCGCGAGGTGGCTCAGCCAGACTTGCCAGCCGTGGTCCGTGAGGTCACGCTGCTCAAGATGGAGGCAGACCCCATCAGTGGGTCCGGTGAGCCCACCAAGGGGACAGATGCGGGTTCATGGGGAGCGGAGGGCGTGGCCGGGGTGCCTGCTGCACAGGGCTTTCCCCAGACTAGGCTCCTCACGTCCCCTCCCCACTAGGGAAATGCCGCCCCACTCCTGGAGCCGCCTCCTGAAGGGCGGAGGGCAGGGACTGGTGTTCATTAGGTGGACCCAGACGCATTCAAGGGGTCCGCCAGGGTCAGTGCAGGCTCCCGGCCCGGAAGCAAGGCCACGGGACTCTGCCCTCCCGAGTGGCCTTGCTTCCCAGGCACCAGCCCCAGCCCCGGCAAGGCGTGCGAGTCTGGCCCGGGCTGCGGCTGCGAGTCTTAGGCTCCCAGCGCCAGCTCTCCATGCGACTTCCACGCTGCCACTCTGGCCTCTTCGGCTCTCTTGGTTGTGAAAGGACCCAGGCACCTCCTGTCGAGGGACAGGTCCATTGTGGGGCAGTGGCTTGAAGCAGTCACGTGCGCTGGGGTGGAGACCGTCTGCAGTGTCTGGGGCTTCAGAACTGTGCTGTGCCCTAGGGACCCAGCCAGGCTGCGTCTGTGTCCGTGCCGGGAGGGGCCCAGAGCAGAGGCGCTGGGCTATGGCCAGTCTCCCTCTGCTCAGTGCTCCCCAGCAGCGTCCTGGCACCGCGACAGCCCACACTCGCCTCCCGTTCACCCCTGGGCCACCCAGCCCAGCCACACCGCCCTGTGCCCGGCAGTCCACGCGCCTTCCCTCACCCCTCCTTGTTCTTGTCTTCACGTCGTGTTGTGCTGCTGGAAAGTACTGCCCCCGGCGCCCTTTTCCGCAGTGAGAGTCCATGAGGAAGTGGACAGGGCACTGAGAGGCCTTGGCGTGGCTGGCCGCGTGCCTGCGCGTTCATTCTTTGTGTGCCGGTGCTTCCTGGTTGGGGGGGTCCACCTAGGAAGGGGATTGCGTGCCGAGTAAGGATTAGGAGTTGCTGCATACTCATGAGCTGGAGAAAGATACCGTGGGCATCTGGGGCTTTGGTTTCCTTTGCTGGCAGAGCCATCGCTGGTGTGTCCTCGCAGGCTGGGAAGGATTGCTGCGTGTCCACGCTGGTCCTGGGCACCGCTGGTGGCTGCCGGGCCATGCGTGTCCACGCTGGTCCTGGGCGCCGCTGGTGGCTGCCGGGCCGTGCGTGTCCATGCTGGTCCTGGCCGCCGCTGGTGGCTGCCGGGCCGTGCATGTCCACGCTGGTCCTGGGCACCGCGTGGGAGGGGGCGCAGGAGGCCACCCTCCCCAGGTGGCCGCTGCGTTCTGCCCTCAGCAGCGAGAGGAGACCACACGTGCTACCACCCGGGGGAGTGGCCCACCTCGCAGAGAGGCGCAGGGGCTGTGGGTCCCGACCTTGAGGAACAGGTTGGGTGGTGGTCCAGGGCTGTGCACAGGGTGACCCGGGCTGACAGCCGGGGTCCCGCGAGCATCAGGCTCAGCTCAGAGCGCTCACCACTGTCTAGCCCTAGGGCTGTCCCCAGGGTACCAGCCACCCGGTCCTCCTGCAGAGACTGCGTGGGGTGCCAGGCCCACGCTGCGGCAATCAAGGGTTGAGACACGAAGAGGGTGGCGAGGTCCTGTCACTCATGCCGCTCCCAGGCCTGGGGCACCCGCCCCACCTGCTCCTGCCTGGGCTCCCACCCCCGAGGCCTCTGCTGCACGGCTGTCCTGAGCTGAGCCCTCTGGGAGAAGCGTCGGGCTCTGCCCGCCCTGTGCTCTGGGGCGGCCTCTGTGCTGCTGGCCACAGCTCCCGAGAGCAGCCTCCCCAGGCCCGGGGACAGCGGTCACCGGGACTCTGCTCTGGAAAGGACGGATGGAAGGAGAATGAGAGGAAGGCAGGGCCGGGCAGGGCCGGGCAGGGCCGGGGGCGTGGCTTCAACACGCAGGGCCAGAGTGGCCCGGCACTGGTGTGGAGTGCAGGAGTGGTGCTCAGCTCGCCCATCCTGGGGCTGTGTGGTCCGGCTTGGCCAGCGCGTGCCGGCAGTCAGTGCACTCTGGGTGGGCCCGGGGTTGGGGGAAGGGGATACGCAGGCTGCCTCTGAGGGCCCTGCTGGGAAGAAATGTGGCCACACAGCCCAGAGGCCTGCTGTGCACCCGGGGCCTCCTGCTGTGGGAGGTCCCCAGCAGGGGCCAGCAGCCGACCCAAGTGCATTTCACCTCCAGCAAGTGCTCCTCCCAGTTTCTTTAAATGTGTTCTGCTCTCCACCTATGGACGTTCCTCGTGGGACTCAAGGCCGCGTGTCTGCAAAGCTGCAGACTTGGCATAAGAAGGACACTGGCCCCATCCAGTCAGTGGTAGGGGACAAGAATAGGACAGCTTCGCTTCCCGAGCAAGTCCTCTTGTGTGGATGGTGGTGGCCAGAGCTGTCTGCAGTGCCCGCTCACTGCAGGCCTGCTGCTGCCCCTGGCCACGCAGGACCCCAGGTTCCAGACCAGGAAACCAAGGCACTGTGAGGGCAGGGGTCTTGCACAAGGTTGCCAGGGGCTTGGCACTACCGGTGCTCTGCCAGTCTGGTCCCAGGGCCTTGGCTCCTGACTGCCCACCTACAGAGGGCAGACAGTGCAGAAGGTTCCAGAACCCCTCTCAGGATCTGGCCAGGCTTGGTGAGACCTGGGAGGGCCTGGGCTACCGCAGAGATGCCTGGGGTCTCAGCTGGCGCCACCCGCAGCTCCAGCACCAAGTGGGCCTCTTTTTTTTTTTTCCAAAAAATTATTTTATTTATTTGAGAGACAGAGATAGAGAGGTAGAGACAGAGAGAGATCTTCTTCTGCTGGTTCATTTGCCAAATGGTTGCAACAGGTGGAGCTGAGCCAATCTGAAGCCAGGAGCCAGGAACTTCTTCCAGGTCTCCCACGTGGGTGCAGGGGCCCAAGCACTTGGGCCATCCTCTGCTGCTTTCCCAGGCAGCATTAGCAGGAAGCTGACGGAACTGGAGCAGCCAGGACTTGAACCGGTGCCCATATGGGATGCCGGCACTACAGGCCAGGGCTTTAACCTGGTGTGCCACAGCGCCAGCTCCCAAAATGTGCCCCTTTAAGCCCCAGGGGTTCTAAAGCCATTTTGTGGTGGCAACCTCCCAGAACGTCTCACACGCCTCCCTCTCTTCTTCAAGGGAGCAGCTCGCGCTTGCTTGGCGTCTTCTCTCCTACACTTGGCCATTCTCACAGGCTCATCTTGGAGACAGCCTCCCTTCTTAGGGCCAGAAAACAGGCGTTAACCTCCGTCCCCACACTGAACGTCCTCAGGCCTGCGGGAAGAAAGTGAGGCGAGGCTTCTCTTTGGATGCCGCTGTTACCGCTGGGCGCCACTGTCTTCTAGTGGGTCTTGCTTTGAAGCGTGGCAGCCGTGGCCTCCTGTCTGCGCACCAGGCTACAGACGCAGGACGTCTGCCTGTTGGCGGAGCGCGGGGGCTTTGGAACTGCTGTCTGCCTCCTTGTGAATTCTTAGATTCACTGATTCCGGCAGAGTGCTGACTGGGTTCTGCAACAATGTGCTGGTTAAACTAGACTCAGGTATCTTCTGTATTGAACCCATGCATGGAGGATGTTGGCGCCCTGTTCTCCTCACCCAAGTTTGTAGTGATAGATCCCTGAGTACAACTGGAGGCAAAGCAATGGGATTTTTTAAAATCTTTTACTGTAAAGTAAGTATTCATGAGAAGCTGCAAGCATAGTAGAAGCCCAAGGCTGGGCCTGTGGCCAGTGGTTGAGGTGTCCGTGCGCAGGCCGGACTGCCAGGATTCAGTGCCCAGCGCCGGCTCCTGACCCTAGCTTCCTGCTAGCGCAGATACTGGGGAGCAGCAGGTGATGGCTCAAGTGCCTGGGCCTCCGCCGCCCACGTGGGAGACCTGCGTCGTCTTCCTGGCGCCCAGCTCTGTCCTGGCCTGGCGCCATGCCATGCGCCCTCGGTGGTGACATCTGATGTGGTCAGAATGCAGTGTGAGCACCAGGAACTGCTGTCGGTACAGGTGTCCTTGTGGCTTTCTGCTGTCCTACTACATGTGGGTCACAGTCAGGACTTCGCGCCGTGAAGTGTAACTGAACAGCTAAATACTCTTTGCCAAGCAGTGTTACAGGCGCATTACCTGACTTAACTAAGTGGGCTGTGCCGTCTAATGCCCACATTAATGCACTTTTGAAGGTAAAAGGAAACATTATTATTATTATGCCAGACCAGCAGGTGTGGACCGTCCCAGGCAAACTGAGCTATCTGGTCTCCTTAGTGATGTTTCATTTAGTCCTTGAACCTTGTGAGGTGGATACCACTACCCTGTGCTGTGGGTGTGTGTCAGAAGCTCGGAGGCAGATACTATACCCAGACACTGTGGCTCCCAGGAGTAGTGCTAGGACTGAAACCAGGGGCCATGAGTTCAGATCACAAGCACCTTCATACTTTTCTCTCAGTGTTTATTTTTTATTCTTATTTGAGAGAGAGGCAGAGACAGCTCCCATCTGCTGGTTCACTCCCCAGATGCCAACAATGGCCAGGACTGGGCCAGACTGAAGCCAGGAGCCCAGAGCTCCATGGAGGTCTCCCCATGTGGGTGGCAGAGACTCAAGTACTTGGGTCATCAGCTGCTGCCTCCCAGTGTGCACACCACAGAAAGCTGGAACCTGGCGTGGGCCTGCACAGGGCCTCACCAGGGCGTTAATAGGGAATGCGGGCTCTGCATTCCTAAGCCAGCTCCCACTGCCCCTTCCCAGTGCTTGAAGGGAGCACGCTACCCTCTGCTTTGCCTCTTGTTTTTCTCAGGTGTGGAAATGGAGTTCTGAGAAGAGAGGCCTCCTTGCCCGATGAGCGGTCGGCCTGCACGGGGCTGTGGCACCCAAAGCTGCCTGGGCCTGGGTGTAGCGTGCTGAGTGGTCAGCATAGCCCTGAAGAGCAGGGCCCAGGGGCTCAGCCAGTGGGCTGTTCAAGGCCTCGGTGCTAGGAGCCTAGCAGGTGACCTCTGAGGTGACCGACTGGCGGACAGAGGGCAGGCGGTCAGCGGGCAGAGGGCCGGCGTGACCTGGGGCAGGACTGAGGAGATGGGACGTCGGCAAGGGTTTGCTGTGGGAAGGTGAGGGCAAGAGTGTGGCCAAGGCGTCTGGGTCCAGACGTGGGTTGAAAGCAGTAGACCTGAGGCCGACCTGGAAGCAGGATCAGAAGCCAAGGAGAGAGGGGTGAGGCCAGCACACGCCGGCCTCCCTGCTTTTCCAGGATGGTGTCGGGCAGATGCCACCTGACCCCCAGAACATAAGACAGAGGGCGGACTCTGTGGCTCCCAGGCTGCAGGGCCGGGAGGTGATGTGTGTGCATTTCCGTGCACCAGGCAGCCTCCTAGGGGATGGGAGCCCCTGGACGTGCCCGGCACTCTTGTATAGTTACTCTTAGCCCTGACTCAGACCACCCAGCCAGCACCCTGCTGTTTCACTCCCTGGCCGTCGTCCGGCAGCTCCAGGGTCCTTCATGCAGCCAGCCTGGCCTTCACATGGCCAGAGTTCTGTCCCATCTAAGACGTCAGCGTGGTTCCGGTGGGCCAAGGGTGAGAGTTCAGCTGCTCCGTTCCCTCCTGAAGAACGCGCACCAGAGCCTGAAGCCAGCTACGGGCTGGTGGGAGGGAGAAACGGGACTTCCTGTGACGGGAATGTGGGATTTGCTGCAGGGGGAAGCAGCGCCTTGTCAGTTGCAAGCAGGACTTTGATCATGGCTTCAGGATGGCCTTGCTCACCTGGCGGGGAACCCCGGGAGGACTGGCGGCTGAGAGGGTCTGGAATTCCCACGGGGGCATCAGGGGTGGCAGCAGGGCGGAGCAGGGGAGGGGGACAGCAGGGTGACACCTGAAGGAAAGGTGAAAGAGAACTGACATCTGGGGGGAGGGGACAGGAGAGTGACACCTGGAGGGAGAGGACAGAGGTAACAGGACAGTGAGGGAGGTGACAGGAGGGCAGTGAGGGAGGTGACAGGAGGGCAGTGAGGAGGTGACAGGAGGACAGTGAGGAGGTGACAGGACAGTGAGGAGTAGACAAGAGGACAGTGAGGAGGTGACAGGACAGAGGAGGTGACAGGAGGACACTGAGAGAGGTGACAGGAAGACAGTGATGGAGGTGACAGGGGGACACTGAGGGAGGTGACAGGACAGTGAGGGAGGTGACAGGAGGACAGTGAGGAGGTGACAGGAGGACAGTGAGGGAGGTGACAGGACACTGAGGGAGGGGACAGGAGGACACTGAGGGAGATGACAGGAGGACAGTGAGGAGGTGACAGGACAGTGAGGAGGTGACAGGAGGACACTGAGGGAGGTGACAGGAGGACAGTGAGGTGGTGACAGGACAGTGAGGGAGTTGACAGGACAGTGAGGGAGGTGACAGGAGGACAGTGAGGGAGGTGACAGGAGGACAGTGAGGAGGTGACAGGAGGACAGTGAGGAGGTGGCAGGACAGTCAGGGAGGAGACAGGAGGACAGTGAGGATGTGACAGGATAGTGAGGAGATGACAGGAGGACAGTGAGGAGGTGACAGGACAGTGAGGGAGGAGACAGGACAGTGAGGAGGTGACAGGAGGACAGTGAGGAGGTGACAGGACACTGAGGGAGGTGACAGGAGGACACTGAGGGAGGTGACAGGAGGACAGTGAGGTGGTGACAGGACAGTGAGGGAGTTGACATGACAGGTAGGTGACAGGAGGACACTGAGGGAGGTGACAGGAGGACACTGAGGGAGGTGACAGGATAGTGAGGAGGTGGCAGGAGGACAGTGAGGGAGGAGACAGGACAGTGAGGATGTGACAGGACAGTGAGGATGTGACAGGAGGACAGTGAGGAGGTGACAGGAGGACAGTGAGGGAGGTGACTAATGACCAGCAGAGGCCTGCCACCTTCTCGCTAGGTGCCGTGTTTGTCTGTCGTGAACAAGGTGAGGCTTAGTTCTTTTTGCGGCATGGAAGCCCTGGTGTTCTGGCTCCTCAGGCCTTGTACAGGTGTGTGGGCTCCCTCTTGTCCCTCTGAAAATGCCAGGCCCTGTTCTGCCCTCTTGGCTGCCTGTTTCCTGGTGCCCTGGCAGGGCCCCTGCTGAACTTGGGTGCCAACCTACCTCTCCTCCGGGCTTGCCAGGCCTGGCCCCAGGAATCAGGGCTTCTCTGTGGTCAGCGCCTTGGGTGCTGTTGGAGGTGGGCTCTCCTGCAGGTGTTTTAGGGTTGGGGGCAGCTGGGCTCCGCCTGCCGTCTGTTCCAACTTCACCGGCCACGCGCCCAGCTGCTCCGCCCGTGGAGGACTCGATGCCTCCCTCTTGCTAGACTTCCCGTCACCCAGGGGCTACAGGAGAGGCCGACTGTGGAGGGCTTGGGCAGATACGTCACAGGCTGCAGGTCCCCGAGAGGTCCTGAGACCCACTCCCCGGCAGAGAAGGCCACGTTCTTGCTGCTTGAACAGGTGCCTGAGAGCGGGGGATTTATAAACAGCAGCAGAAATACCTTTTCACGTTTGGAGGCCTGAAGCCCAAGACCAAGGGGCCAGCAGACTCTGTGTCTGGTGTGGGCCCCATCCCCGCTTCCCAGAATGCACCTTTCGCCACAGCCTCAAGCGGCAGACGGGAGAAGAGTGCTCCTTGTAAAAGACGCTGATCCCCTCCGTGCGGGTGGGGCCTGCCTGGCCTGGGCCCCTCCGGAAGCCCCCCACCCCGCACTGCTGCTTTGAGATCCAGTTTCCACCCGGATTTTGGAGGAGCACAGCATTCAGACAGCAGCACGTGCACACCGCATGTTGGCTTGAAGGAAAGCGTTTCGTTTGAGCCAGCTCGCGGCTCCTGTGTGCGTGGGTGGAGCTGAGGCGCACGCGTTGCAGGAGGCCAAGCACGCCCTGCCCCTGGGACCTGAACCCGCCACTCCAAGCTCAGTGCCTCGGGACTGGCCCGGGGGCTCCTTGGCAAAGGCCACCGGTGATTTTTGGGAGCAAAGCCCCTGGGGCTGGGTCAGGGCAAAGAACTGGTGGCTGTCCCCCCAGGAGCAACATCTGGGCAGCCTGCGTCTGATGCCTTGTCCTGGGCGCTTCCTGCCCACCGCATGCTTGTCCCCAGCCTGTCACCCCATGGCCGTTCCCCAGTTGGTCCTTCATCCCCACATGGCTGCTTCATCTCAGTTCTGCGTACCTGTCCTTGACCCGCAGCCCAGCGGGACGCCTTCCTCCCCACAGCCCACCAGGCTTTGCCGCCCCCCGCCCCCCTCAGCTTCCTGTGGTTGCCGCTCGGGATCAGCCCGTGAGGCCCTTCAGATGAGCGCTCTCCTCCAGGGCAGAGGGGACGCTGCACCCGGTGGGTCAGGGCCGGGCTGGCCGTCTGGTGCCAAAGCCGGTCTTTCTCTCCCTCCCCACTCCCTTCCAGATTCAAATAGCGGGCCGTGGCCAGAGATCCGCAGGCCCTCCAGGCTCTCCTCGGACATACAACAGCTCAGGGTCCTGTCAGTGCGCCTGTTGGCTCCTGGGATGTGAGATATGGGCCAGGTATTGGCCTGAGGGGCCCCAGCATGCCCTGCCCTGGTCCAGGGCTTTCCATCGCCGGCTGTGGGTGCTGAGTCAGCATGACTGAGACTGCTGTGTTTGAAAATGAGGGCGAGCAGCGTGGCCGTGCCTGGGAGTCCCAGCCCAGCCTTAGCGACTGCCCCCTGTCAGCCACTCCCTGGTGTGGACCAGGGAGCCAGGCTGGCATGCGGGGCAGCCCGGCGGGGTTGCAGGTTCCCTCACTCCCCTGCCTGCTGCAGACCAGGTGGGCAGGAGAGTGAACAGCCCTCGGGCGTCGCTGGGGAGATTTACAGCGCTGCTGAGGGAGGCCGGTGCTGGCCCTGTGCGGTCCGGAACGGCCCTCAAGGCGGGGACAATAAATCCAGCCCATTATTTTTATGAGCCTCCCACCCCATAAACAACTCCTTTGGCTGGTGAACTGGCTTCACGCCCTTCTCCTGGCCTGGCCCCGAGCCAGGGGCACCCCTGAGCGACTTCACGACATGAACGGTGGATGTTCTCCCCGGCTACAGAGCTTCAGGTCTCCTGGAATGGACGCTGCAGGTGGTGGGGCAGGACGGGGGTTGGGGGTCGGGGACACTTGGACGGGACCAAGAAAGAGGTAGCTGGCCCGGCACTGGCTCCCTTCTCAGCTGCTAGTCCTGGGGCCTCAGTTTCTTGCTTGTAAAATAGGACAAATCTCAGTGTGTTTCACTACAGAGTCGTGAGGATCGGAGTGAGATCCAGGTACAAGACCTGCCCCTAGCGAAGCACCTGGCTCTGCGCAGCACCGAGCTCCGTGCCTGGACTTCGGCAGGAGCCGTCAGACCCCGAGAATAGGCTGTGACGAGGTGCTGCTCTTAGGCCCATCCTGCGGGGGAGAAGCAGAGAGAGCTGCCCACCGAGAGCAGAAGCTGACCTGACTGCCCGTCAGAACAATGGGCACTGAGCTGACAGAACGGATGGAAGGGTAGCCGCAGGGTCTCCCCAGCCCGAGCCCCGGGACACAGGGAGCTCCCGCCTCTCTGTCCTGCTCTCTGCCAAGTTGGGCAGCAGCTACCGCCCTCAGGCCATGGCCTGTGGCCTCTGGCCTTTCCAGGGCCTGCCCCAGCTATCCCAAGGGCTCCAGCTTCCTCCTCACAGAGTTAGAGAGAGGAAGAGAGAGAAAGTCTTCCATTTGCTGGTTAACCATCACCTCCTCAAATGGCCAGTGCTGGGCCAGGCCAAAGCCAGGAGCTTCCTCCAGTTCTCCCACATGAGTGCTGGTGCCCAAGGACTTGCACTGGTTTCCCAGGTGCAGCAGCAGGGAGCTAGATCAGAAGTGGGAGCAGGGGCTGGCACTGTGGTGTAGTGGGTAAAGCTGCCGCCTGCAGTGCTGGGATCCCATATGGGTGCCAGTTCAAGTCCCAGCTGCTCCACTTCTCATCCAGCTCTCTGCTATGGCCTGGGAAAGCAGTAGAAGATGGCCCAGGTCCTTGGGCCCCTGCACCCACATGGGAGATCTGGAAGAAGCTCCTGGCTCCTGGCTTGGGATCAGCACAGCTCCAGCCGTTGTGGCCAATTGTGGAGTGAACCAGCGGATGGAAGATCCCCCTCCCTGCCTCTCTCTGCCTCTCCTTCTTTCTCTGTGTAGCTCTGACTTTCAAATAAGTAAATAAATTTTTAAAAAAAAGAAAGTGGAACAGCCAAGACTCAAACCTGCACCCACATGGGATGCAGCCCTCCTTTGCCACGACGACGTCCTTGTCACTTCTATGTCCTGCTCTGCCCATACAGCTCCCCTCTGGAGAAGGTCGTCCCCTACCTCTACCATTGCTCACCAGAAAACACTATGGCAGCACCCCGCCCACAGCCCTCCCGGTTCCATCCATGCTGCACCCTCAGCCTCCCTGCACTGTCCCTCCTGTCTTTGCTCGCATCTTGCTCTCTCATGTGTAGATCTGCCCCTGTGCCTGAAGACCGCCTGCACCCCCGGATCCAGCATGGGGCCTATTAGGGAGCCGAGTTAGGACAGCTAAGGAGGCATCCGATCTGAAAGGGCCACTCCTGGATGGAAAGCCCGCCTGCACACCT